TTTCTGTTATTCTTATTGTTTTAAATGTTCAGTTATGTTTTTAATTCGAACATTTTTAATGACATTTCACACGATCGTATTTCGTTTTTCGGAGATAAACAAATATAAGCAATTAGCCAATGCTTTTGAACAAACAGCCCTGCATCATATAATATACTAAAGACTGTTATTTTACTTGAAAATGCTGGATGAAGTGAAAATGTTATTTAGTAAAGGATTCCGGAAATCCTGTATATTGTGTGTTGACTTTGTGCCCACAATAAAGTTGTTATTATCATTATCATTCTCAATCAAAGTAAAACTAAAGTCATGAAGACTAGTCGATTCCAGACAAAAGCAAGATAATTAGTTCAAAGAAGGGCTCTTTCTCAGCTATTTCATCATCTTTAGCTGTACAGTCGTATTCACGTACAGTTAATGAATAATTTTGGAAAAAATCGCTTGGACATTGGATGTGAACGGAAACAGAATAAAAGTAAGCACCAAAATAAACAGTGCCAAAGACGAACGCCGTACACAAAGCGTTACTTAAAAATGGTACCAAAAGTTGTAATACGAAAACATACAATGCAAAAATCGAAATTATAGTATTGATGTTAAAGACGACAGAGTTTGGAGTTATCGTCAAATTATAAGAAGGGTGGGAGGCATCAGTCAGTGTTTTCCTCATGAATGACCAAGGCATCAACGATGTAAAGCCAAAAGAAATATAAATTTTGTGGAGGTTTCTCGTAACTCTGCAGATTATTTTGGGTGAGTTTCAGAGACTGAGTAGCCAGTGCTGAAAGTGTGTTTAATTATAGCAAGCGTTATATACTTTTGAAATAGCCTTTCGCTTATTCCATTCATCTATTTCACTGATAGTTGTTTCTATGCTCTTTTCATTAACATCCAACATCTTAACAATCTATTAATATTAATTCATTAATTGTTTATAAATATGACTGTAATGATAAGGATGATAAAATAGCCGAGTGCAGGCTCTTCTCTAAACTACTGTTTCACTTTCATCTAGAACCCATTAATATTCAGACCTTAGTTATATTTTGATCAATCTTTACTATACCGTAATATTTCTAAATAAACTATATTCCGAGCTAAATTTGTCTGTACTCCTGTACTTGGCAAACTGAATGTGTACACCGAAACAATCATATATAAGTATGATTGTATAGCTTAGTGTATGAAATCTCTGAAGAATTTTTTCTCACAATTATTACTGCGAGTAAACACTCAGGTGTTTATTATATTACTTATTCATGAAATGTACCTCCTTGCTCAATAATAGAAGAAAGCATCCTGATTTAATCATTGCAGTACCTTAATATTTTGTCTATGCAAATGCATCCTGTTAACTACATTTCACATTGTTTTAATTATACAGGTTAAAGTTATTATTACTATTTTCTGTATTATTATCGTTAATTCACTGCGCGAAATTACCTTGCGTTTGATTGTGCGCAGCTAATATTCACAATCTAAGATTAGCTGGCGAAACGATTCAATAAGAGAAAAGCTACAGTCGACTGTTTATTTCAAATGTAAGCGTCGAAATTTCAGATGTCACTGATTCAAATAATCTCTTGGTGAAAGGAAAATAAACAATTGGGGGAATAAATTTTGATGTTTAAGTATAATAAAGCAGCAATTTTCATTATCTAACTGAAGCTTAAATTATCTAAATGTTTGAAGTGATTTTTATCTTTAAAGAATATCATCTCTTCTTGTTACTATTCTCAAAATACGTGTTATACTAGAAGCTTGAGATCGCGAACTATTGTTAATGATTATAATAATTTTATGCATACAGCTGTGGTGATTGACAATTTCTATCTCTGTATTGTTTAAGTACTTACTGTTGATTACTAATATGTTTCATATATGAATTGCATTATAATTCCGCTAAATACAAATTCCTGAAATCCTCCCTCTCTGTGTTTTCGTTGAATTCTTGTAATTCGGTCATCCCGAAATACTAATACTACGATTAAAATAAATTACTACACCAACATTCCTTACCAATTAAATATTTCTAATCAAGATTCCGAAGTAAAACTATAAATTCTGGTTGCAAAAGTAAAGCAAGACGAAGTTAAACTACTAGGAGATACTAATTCTAACAAGTGAGTGACTAAGTTTTCCAGTTTTACAAAAGAACTTTGACTATGAAAATGATTACACACTTAACTTAATGCATGTTCAAAATATTGGAAAAAAGGAGTTCAACAGAGTTATGTTTTCGCGACTGTATTGTACAGCCATTAGGAATGAAAACTCTGAATTTGTGGTGATTGACAATTTCTATGTCTGTATTGTTTAAATAATTACTGTTGATTGTTAATATATTTCTTATATGAATTTAATAATAATTCCGCTAAATACAAATTCCTGAATTCCGCCCTCTCTATGTTTTGTTTGGATTCTTGTAATTTGGTCATCTCAAAATACTAATATTACAAGTACAATAAATTACTACAAATTGGCATCGCGGTGGAACTAAATAACCTGGGAAAATTTCCTCTTAATGGTTCTCCGCGGGAAATTGCTGATTATTTGGAATGCTTCGATGCGTGGTGCATTTCAAAGAATGTTCGGGATGACAAAATTCCAGCACATTTCATTATTGCTATTGGGCTAGATGCATATAGCCTAGTAAAGACTCTGTCATCTCCAGATAAACCCATTTCTCTATCATATGACAAGATCCGTGAACTTCTTATAGATCACTTCCATATAACTACTTTTGAGACCAGAGAGAGGGCTCAATTCAATAAACTGGTTCGTGCTCCCAACCAGAAGATTAGAGACTTTATTCTTCAACTTCAAATACAAGCTTCAAAGTGTAACTTTGAAGATCAGCTGCATACTCAACTACGTGATCGTCTAATTGCTAGCTGGAATCAATATTCCTAAGTTAGAGAAAGAGTTAATTCAGATTCCTTCTTGTACGTTTCAAACTGCTAAAGATTTATGTATTACATATGAAGATGTCAACAGTGAATACTCTGCTCCCACTACGTCAGTATCTGATGTTATGCTTTCCAAAGTCGAAAATACAAGTGGTCATGGAAAGCAATCCAAACTGCCGTCCACAGGTAATAGAATGCAGCGAGAGATCAAAAGCATTAAACCGTGTTTTTCCTGTGGAAAGTTACATCTACGAAGCACTTGCCGTTTTCGGGGTGCTAAGTGTCACAAATGTGGTAAAGTTGGACACATCAAGACGGTTTGCAGAAGTTCGAATACTTATGTTACTCAGAATCCTGATAATTCTTCCAATTAATCTGGTAAAATGCAGTCAATGTGTCATTCAACTTTTCAAAATACTCAATCTCATCCAAAGAAAACCTCCACTGCAAGTTCAGCAACTCAAGCGTCAACTGTTTCCAAAAATGAGGTAGCCGAGTTACAATGCGAACTGTCAAAAACACGAAAAAAACTGACTGAGATGAGAGAGCAACTGATTAAAATGGAGGAATTGTTGCATATGCATAGACTGCGTCTGTTGAAGGCAGAACATACAAGTACCCATGAAAGTCCTGCAAAACTATTCAAATCTCGAATTCTCAGAAAGCATCTGATGTCCACGACTCCTAATGTACATTATTACAAAGGGAATGACTATAGACCTTCTATTGGTATCATACTACAAAGAATGGGAAATCGAGTGGTGAAGCTATTAGACATCAAAGGTCACTCAGTTCATAACGGACACCAATTATAATAATAATAATTCCGCTACTAATCCCGATTTTGTAGATAATTCTGAAATAAGTCCAGATAACAGTGATAAAGATAATATCACAGAATCAGTTAGAAGGTCGCAGCTACTTGCAAGCAAACCGAGACATCGTTATAAATACGCAAGGAGATATTCGACGTGTGACGGATGTGGTGATTGACTATTTTTTTATGTCTGTACTGTTTAAATAGTTACTGTTGATTGTTAATATATTTCTTATATGAATTGAATAATAATTCCGCTAAATACAAATTCCTGAATTCCGCCCTCTCTGTGTTTTCGTTGGATTTGTAGCGGTAAATAATTCCCCAAAATTATTGACCACAGCAATCACTCATTGGATGCTGACCACCACTGTTTAAGTCGACTTGTTTAGCTGAAGGCTTCCGGTCAAGCATGCCCACCATTTGATACCCCGTCGTGTCACGTGCACGATCACTAGCTAGCTAAGCGTTCGTCTAACGGCTGGTTTTGGTTCCTAAATATATCTCTTGGTTTGGACGATCAATAATTGGCTTTTGTTTTGTCTTAGGTACACGAGAATAAATTAATTAGAAGTTGTTGAACGAGATATGCGTCAACCATTAAAGATTCTTGTAATTCGGTCATCTCGAAGTACTAATACTACTATTACAGAAGATTACAACAGAACTGCTTTCTTTTTCTCCTAAAGATCCAGAATGGTCTTTGCTGTGATTCTAAAATTTGGAGGGAATCGCGGAACTCCTTTTTCATACTTTAATCAGTGTAGAATGTATTGTAATCAAATGTTTCGGTGAATTATTAAAGCGATGGCTAATTGATATTCTACAATTGAAGTTAATTCTACATTTGACTTCATAGAAATTTAACAATTTTCGCCAACGATTCACTCTACTGGCAATTTGTTTTGATCTTAGTGGTGAATTAAATATTTATTAATCACCTAGGTTATATAATGTGCTACCGGAAAAAAACAGTTCATTTTAAATCGCTTAGTGCGAAAAATGGTTTCTCTATAAATGTAAAATAGCCACTTATTTGAGTATATATGTTCTAAGTATTATTAATTGTCTTTTTGGCTTTATCTCATATGCTAGTGTTGAACTATCCTGAGTATTCAACGGCAGTCCACTAACTTGTAAGTATCAATTAAAACATCCTAAACTGAGTGTTATTCAGTTACCTTACAGTTTAAAGAAAATAAACCTCATTTCATGCCAAATGCATACGAACTGCTAAAGAAAAAAGAATGAAATGTGATCACCCAGAGTATGAATTATAAGAGAAGAAACAAGAATGAAAGCAAGCTGAGTGCACTCACTGATGTGAAAACAATTATTAACATAGTACACAAACAATAAATAAATAGTTTATAACCTTCAGCTTTTGCAAAATAAGGACTAGCTGATGAAGGACTTTTACACTGTGGACAAACGTCTGCTGCTAGACCAAGCGCTTGACAAGTGAAGAAACGAAAACTACAGACACCACACCGGAATTCATTTGATCTCGTATTGCGTTGGATGTATGTCTGTTTTTCATCTAAATATACATTATAGAAATTGTGTAACATTAATAGTTAAGCTTTGATTACATATACAAAAACAATAAATGCAATATATCTTCCATCTTGAGAGTATAGAATAACAAGCATAAAACAGTTCTTTTTTAAAAGAGATATGTTAATATCAAATTTTATTAATTCGAATTTAAAAATATTCAAGATCATTAGTCTCCAAAATACTTGATATCTAATATGTGTATGGCGTGGAATCAATTACAACAAAAAAGTAAGCAAATTCATGAAAATTAGCAGGCCTAAATATCACAGTGAACATGAGGTGATGCATGCAGAAATTAAACTACAGCAGCCACCAACAATGTTTCGATCGAAGAATGACCTTGAAGCATTCATCATGAATGCTATGAATGTGTTACATTCATTGTTTGCTCTTGGTCTGGGTTCCTAGAATTCTAGGTACTGGCTTATTGTGCTTACCTGAGAAATTTTACCAGAGTACTCAGGGAGTAAAAAGGCTTAATTTCCCTGTACTATGATTGGTTGGTTTAGAAGGGTAATTTAGAAGGCATTTACTGCTGGTGGCTATAGTTTAAGTTCTCCTGACAGATTGACACAGATAGGTGAAATGATTCAAAGGTTTGGTAGATTAGTCCTATTAGTTCATGTCAGAAATCTAACGGAGCTATATTTGTACTTTCACTGATCACCAGTATAAATTTGAAGTAAATTCTCTCAACTCTGTATGTTATTTTAATTTTTGATAGGCCGATGGTTATGAATAAAATAAATTTAAGATTCACTAAAAAACGAATATTAAGACAAATAAAAGTAAAAGTACTATTAACGTCTTTCATAAAAATTTTATAAACGATTGGCTTTCAATGGATAAAAAAGTATTTTGAATTTTTTATTGATAATTTTTTAACGGGGGTATTAGTTTTAGTCTCCACTATGTAATAAGTTTGGAATGTGTCAAAACTTTCAATGACTACAAATCAAAATGAGTACAATACATCAGAAATTCATCACTAGTAATCTTAGAACTTGCCCCAGTCTAAGACCTCCACAAGTATTTGTATGAACAGCTGAATACTAATTCATGTTCATGAAATCGATGATGAAGAGACCTCCATTTTAATTAATAAAATCACTTTCACAGTTGGTACAACGTAAATTACAAGCCATGTGAACTTTATGTTCTAATGTTTTTGCCTCTTATGATCTATGTAATGTAGACTGTGTTAATCTGTGATCATCACTTCGTCCACAAGAGTTCAACAATCTAGTAGTAGTAATGGCTTAGTTCAGAGATGTTACAGATTGAATTTCTTCACCAAGAAGGGAAACAAATTGTATAATTAGTTTGGTGATGCCCACACGTAAGAGGACAAAAGCAAAACACAAAAAATCTCGCTCTCCATTGTGATCAACAAGTCTTCTCCGTTATGTGAAAATCGTTTCAGGTCGTTACTGTTTATGTGCTTGGTGCAAGAAAAGTATCCATTGGTCAAAAGCTTCAACTCGAGAATAACCAATGTTCCTGAATGGATGGATAAAATGTAAATTGCTGACCAATACTTCTGTCCTATAGAAAATTATGGATAAGATCTTATTTTGATAAATCACACAGTCTTGTACAGTAATATTAACTGATGACGTTTTGAGCACAAATTATTGCTCATAATCATACCAACTCACACAACGTCTTGCTTCATTTATATATGAGTAAAATTGATCAGACATTTGGATAAAATCAATGTAAGATAAAGTATATTCAGAAATAATATTAGTGTTATCAATCAAATACAATCAGATGGGAAATAAGATGTCTTCCATAGTAAAACTAAGTAACTTGTTATCATGTGAATTGAATACATTTTAACATTATCTAGCATTCTCCACTTGACTAGTAATAATATCTTCCATGTGTCTGCTATTTGCTTTGATTCATGTCTGTTGCGTGTGTTGAGTGACTCGATAAACAAGGATTCGGTAATCAATCTGTCTCTCCACCTACCTAGATTACTTTTGAGAATTTCGACTGTCCCACCCTACTGTGTGCTTGTGTGTCATCCATAATGGAGTCATGCCCTACCACAGTGCCCAAGTTTTATCCTCGAGTTTATACCCAACACTCGCAACAGACATGAATCAAAGCAAATAGCAGACACATGGAAGATATTATTGCTAGTCAAGTAGGAGAATGCTAGATAATGTTAAAATGTATTCAATTCACATGATAACAAGTTACTTAGTTTTACTGTGGAAGACATCTTATTTCCCATCTGATTGTATTTGATTGATAACACTAATATTATTTCTGAATATACTTTATCTTACATTGATTTTATTCAAATGTCTGATCAATTTTACTCATATATATAAATGAAGCAAGACGTTGTGTGAGTTGGTATGATTATGAGCAATAATTTGTGCTCAAAACGTCATCAGTTAATATTACTGTACAAGACTGTGTGATTTAACAAAATAAGATCTTGTCAGTAATGGAGTTACACTCTACCACAGTGCCCAAGTTTTAGACCAATAATAATACAGAGAACTACACAACAAAGGGAAATGAAAGTGATACTACACAATAAACTAAACAAATGCAACCAACATTTTAAATCAGTCATCGGGACAGAGACAGTCGCTAAAACAACAACGAACAGTTAGTGGTAAATTGAAAAACAGATGGATTAAATCACCGAATAAAATGATGAATCGATGGAAGACTTTTCACAGCAACTAACATTTACATCAGGGTTCAGGTTTCTTTGGAATGAACTGAATTGCGATAGTGATTATCTAGGTAATCTTTAACTCTATACATCGGTAAAATTTCCCCCGAGAACAAGGAGTAACAGGAAATCAGCAGGGTGGACTTTACCAACCAGCTGTTTGTCTGACGGAAACAAAGAGAAATCAGCAGCCGTTAACATAAAGGTAGAGAGTGAAGTCATTACTGTTCAATAAGAAAGTCCTAATGTTGATAGTAGATAAGGGGTTAAAAACACTAACGCGATTTAAAAGGATTGCATCAAAATGCACCAGTGTTCCTACGTGACTAAAACGCTTATCAAACATTGCATGATAACTCCATAAAAACAACTCGTTATTAAATCAAAAACAAGTGAAACAGTACAGGAAGAAACGGAAAAGTCGTAGTAGAAGAACACTGGCATATGAAGATAGACTAACCAGTTTTACGGAGATTTTATGATTGAATAAAAATACTTCTAGGACTGACAGCTTCACTAGGCACAGGACCTTCACTGACTTCATCAAATAAGTAATATAGTAAACAGAACCACTTTGTCATTCAGCGCTAATATCCAGTCACCATATCAACCGTATGTACGGGTAAAATAAAGGACTTGATGATGAAATACAACAAAAAAATGATTTCCTCTGATTTATTACCGTTTTTTACTTTAATCAAGCCAAATTCAACTAGGCAGAAGGAGTGAAATCCCCCAAGGTATACAAAAATTATCAATTTTTACCTAGCATAATTAGTGGTTTACTAAATGCCTATGGTTCAACAGCGAAATATGCCAGCGACATTAAGAAGTGGCTTATACCAGGATAAACCTGGAGCAGTGATACAGATATTACTAACAGTTTTCATTCTCCTGATTAAACCTTAAATGTGAATTAGGGATCTTGACGATAGTTTCAGAATTTTCAGAGGCTGAGAAACGATTTCTCAGTCCGCACTAGAAGTGAATGTCACATAAGCCATAAAATATACAAGTAAGTATAGAGATGCACTATCTAAGAAGAAAAAGTGAATAAAATCTTCAAAGCCGACTGAAACCTTTATGTGGGTTAATTAAGAAGCTGGATTTCTCAAAGAACCCACGAATATCAGCTGGCAGTAAGAAAACTTCATTGGTCATCATTTATTTTTGTGAACACAAACAAATACAATCCCAACTTCAACTAGGGGGAATTTCGGGAAGTCCGACATTTGAAGAAGGCTGCAATTTATGGACACTTAGAATTAAACACAACGCACAGTTTCACTTGAAAAGATAAATGATCATTCTTTAGGTGGATTAAGTTGTTTAATAGATAACCACAGTAGTATTCATATTTTTCTCAGTCTTTGCAACAAAGATATAATCCTGATGTAACCCAAGGGGACAAAACATTTCCAACAGTTACAACTACAAAGTTATAATAGAAGCAAAAATCTGTACTGAAATATTCGCGCAACTAATATGCCTTAAATTTTTAGTGAATTTGGAGCAACAGTTATCGCTAGGATTGATAATTATGCTTTTATTATCAAGTATCGAAGCTCGGAAGACAACTAGCAGATTTCATTGGGATATGTGCATTAGGTTTGTAAAAATTACTGACATGATGTAGGGAACATTATGTCGTATCACTTAGCATAACGATCATAATGTACACCTGAGGATTAATTAGCTAAAACCATTTGGTGTTAAACTTAGATACATCATACACTCTTACACTGTATTCGTTCAGATATTAAACAGTTGTGTTGTAAAAGCTCTATGACTAGTTTGGATACCAAAGGCGACATCACATACCAATTATTACAAAAACTTATTGTTTGTAGTTACAAATAGCACTAGGGGCTATATATTCAGGACTTCCTCTCTACCGAGTTCTCCAGATATTTTATATTTAAGTAGATATATAGTGAAGAAAACAAATGTAACGTTAATGAGAGCACTTTTATAGAGCTGATGATTCTGAATCGAAACCTTCAGCATACATATATCAAAATATTTTTTATTCGGAATAAAAGAAACCACACTTCATATAGCTCAAAGTTATGATGACGGGTATTTTAAATATGCTTTTAAGCTGAACAAAAAAGCCAAAGAGTCATATAAGCGAAACACGCAAGATAAACTCACCATGATTAATCAGTTTCCTATTCTTTGGAACATATCTGCCCCCTTCTTCTGTTGCGCTATCGCTATAATAGCGCTGTCTAACTATATCTTTAGAATTTTTGGCATAGGGTAAAAGGAGATGAATCTGACATTTTGGACAAATCACTGATTCAACATATATTGGGACTAGAATAAGCCGCCCGCATACACACCGAAAAAAGTGACGATCTGAAGGAGGATAGGCTATAGGCTGTTTGAAAAGTGTTGGATAAAAAAATCGCACATCAATAGTGTGTCTAAATTAGAGAAGTAAAAAACATGTATGCTACACTTGTTAGCTTGTGATAAAAGACTTTTACATATGAACACAATGAAGCAATTAAAATGCCCATATCAGGTTCTTATTTAGTGACGACGAGGCTGCCTGTAGAAGTTGCAGACATATCTTAAGTTGTGGAGTCACAGATGGAGGCAGATGAAGGTATGCTGCCAATTTCTGATGTTTGATAGAAGTGACATTATCCTATTTATCAGTTACTGACATTAAACAGACTGACAGTGTAAAAAGGTTTGCTGGAAATCAAATGAAAAAGATTCAGAATAGGTGAATGATTGCATTGAGCTGGATGATGTGGAAACAAAATATTTATGCGATCCGTCTGAGCATCCTAATACAAATCTCGTGAGCAGTTTTGTCACCGACAATCTGGCAAAATTAAACAAAGCAAAAACAAAAAATGTACCGGGATAACGGGAGCTCATCTATTTTATTTAGAAGATTTTTCTCAACTAGATACAACTTGGACAATACAAAATAGAGATTACAGTAAAAATTTAAACATATTTTTTCGCAATGGTAAGGAGTAATTGATGGAAACTAAGAGTAATAAACATTACGTCAATCTCGAGTTTTTCATATTATCAATCAATATTCTGTAGCACCAAATCCAAAATATGCAGTTTTGTCAAATGTTCACCAAACAGCATTAAGAAACCAAACTCACAATGGATCTGTTGCTATTCTCCGATCTGACAGATGATCTGGTGTTGTGATAATGATTAAAGATGATTATGTGCACAAAGCCTAACTAATTCTGAGGGACGTATCAACATTTTGAATTGGTCATTCGAAGAAATCTTTATCCAAAACAGTCGAGAAAAGAATAACCTAGAAACTAAAGGAACTTTTGAAGGACTTAATCGATAACTGCACATAACGAACTGGAGCCTAGAGGGTTGAGATTACCTTAGTAATACGGCCTTTCCAAGACAAATTTACCAGATGTTCCCATAAGACCAATACTATCCATAAATAATTTAACATTGCATAAAGTAGCTCGGGGACTAACAGAACTGTTGGAGCCTATTTATACCTAGTTATCTGTTCACAGGTTAAGAGACACTATTCACTTTTGCTAAACTGGTAGAGAATTTGAACGTATCGAAGAGATCTATGATGTCGCTTGGTTTGTCTTCACTGTCTGTAAGGATCCCATTTGAAGAAATAATACAAATCACATATGTGTATGCTGACCTTATTCCTCGATCGAAGACTAGAGTCAAACAGCTTCTGTTAATATGTGCCAAAGACGCAAATTTCCAGTTCAACAATGTTCTGCACTGACAAATAGATGGAGCCGCTATAGAAAGTATGCTGGATTCGATTCTGGCAAATATTTTTATGGGTGACCTGAAATTTACAAGAATAAAGTTCGCAAACAGGACTGACTTCTACGGTTGGTACATCGATGTCACGTTTGTCATTTGTGATTAATTTACCGATGGAATTCAAATATTAAACGTCATAAATAGTGCTCATCATAATATAGAGATTACAACGCAATATGAAAATCAGGACAAGATTCATTTTCTGACCTTGGTATTCAACTTGATAGATACAGTAAAATCGTAAAGTGTATCTAGAGAAAAGAGACGTGGTTGGCAATTTACCTGAACTTCAAAAGTTTCTGCGCTATTAGTTAAAAAAGGGATTGTTGAGAAGATTGTTTGATTGTTTAAGAAAGCTTCACTCAGATAAAAGGTCCATGAAGTGTTATGCATTATGAAAAAGTGCCCAAGTGGTGATGGTTACCCAGAGAGGTTCACCAACAACAAGTGGAAAACGTAGTGTGGAACAAGAGAATTGCAGCACAACAGAGAAAAAGTCTATCTTTCTATAGCTTTTTGGTGATATTGCTAGTAAAATAAGATACAGACTAAACGGTGCCGTTGAGCTTGTATTTGTATGTTAAATGATCATTTGTTGAAGATAATCAAAAGCAGACAAACTCCCACATCAGGTTATTTCTATGTCTACCGCTTTGCATGTACGTGCCATAGCATATGCATTATGAAAACAAAGAGAAGTATTACTTTCTGCATCAAAAACCTGGAACAAAAGGCTCACAGGCATAAAACAATAAGGCTTCGTGACATATATTAAAAACCGGCCATACTGTGAACAATATGAAGGCTTTAAAAATAGTCAACTGGGTTGCCAAGTTTGGTTGAAGCAATTGTCATGAAACGATTAAAACTAAATTTATGTATGCAAGAGGAGACAGTACTGAATGCAACGCTATCTTGAAAATTAAACCTATATAACTAAGTGTAGAATTTTTATCAATTCATGTATCCCTCTATTTCGATATAAGGATAAAACTTAAGGACCGTGGTAGAGTATTATTCCATTATGCATAAAATTTATTTGGATAAAGTCATACATTGTTACATAGTAATATTCACTGATGACGGTTCAAGCACAATTTGATGTTCATAATCACATCAAGGTTTTCACACAACCCAAACATTTCGAGCTCTAAACTCGTGTATATTCGTCTAATTATTCTATGAACACTGAATCCATCTAACTCTCAACAAATTAACCGCTTAAATCATTCCGAAAGTACCTTACTCTTAGTTCCTATCAAATATTTCTTATGATCACAAAAAAGTATGCTTATATCTTCACTGTAATATATATTTTCGTGTTGTTCAGATTGTATCCAGTTGAAAAAAACCCTCGAAATAATAAAAGATAAGTTCATTATCCTGTTCTACACTTTTCAATTTCTCTGGTGGGAAGAATTGTATGAAGTTTCGAAAGAAATTGATAAGACCCTTGTTCAGTGTAAACGTTCCTTTATTCATTCCATGAAACTAACACCACTTAATACGTCATTGCCATCATAAGATTCAACAAAAGTATTAGGTACGCCCCTATCCTACTTATTTCAATATGTAATAGGCTAGCTCTTGATGAAGGTATCACGGATATGTACTCATATTATGCCTAATGGATGACAACTAATTAATAGTGTTAAACATTATTAGAAGTACAAACTAAGCATAAAAGCATCAAAGGTAATCCCAAGGAAAACACTGAGAATAGAGATTTGGAACAACGTTTGACGACAGAATGTAAAATAAACGTGCATTCCTAAAGGAACCTAAGTTTCAGGATTCGCTTCTTATCTGTCGTTTCACAGTTTAAGCACGGAATACCAGTCAAGTTATCTTTGACAAATTATTTCTTCTCTTTAGGGCTGTCATGCAAAGCAGTTATATTTTAATTAATTGTTTAACCATTATCATTGATAAATTCGTTTCTACGGCAACAAATAAGTGCAGAGCAATCGCAGCTGCAAACGTCGCTTGTGCAGAATCAGAGACAGCAGTACGGAGAGCACTTCAAAGACAAAATGTGTGTCTTCATGAAAAGTGCATGACTTTGTCGGCATACAAAATATGCTCTTGGAATTACTTTTGATTTAAATTATCTTTCATTGGCCCTTTTAAATAAGTTCCTGATCCAGTAAAAGGTAAATGTGCAAGTCACACTACAAATGCTGTGTGAATTTATTAAAAAATAGCACCTCATTTAACATTGTTTTGCATTAGTGTTAAAGAGTACATTATTATGTTTGTTTCTAATGTTATCATAACTAATATCATAAATTCAATAGTTAAAGTCATTATTAAATACTACTAATATTGAGGCCATTTAAATTAGTCAGAATTTCAACTGCATTATTTATATAATTTCATATACGCAAAGATAATATTTGAAATTCATCACTTTTGGATACTTCAGGTATACTAGATAATGGAGACACAAAGGATTTAGTATTGCCATCAAGAACAATAAAGAAGTATTATTTTTGCCAGAAGTCTTAACGTAAAATGTTTTTGTATATATACTGGTCCCAACTTTTAGTAACAAATGTTCTTAATTATAATATAGAAGTGTAATATATGCATTGATGTTGAATAAACTTTGCATGTGCGTAGAAATTATTTTATCCTTTTACTCATATCAAAGCTATTACTTTCAAGGAAACAGTAGTGAAAATCATTCTAATTTCAATTCCAATGTACTCTGCTTCAGTAACTATCAAATAAATTTTCTTTAATATTAACCTCTACATTAACAGGTTACCATGACAGTGTCTAAAAGAAGGGTTAAATCAACTGTTATTGGATGGTGAGAAATTACTTCAATCTTCAAACACTTACTTTAAAATAAACCTATTTAAATAATTAGTAATGTGCTCTTATAGCCCAAAAATTATAGTATGTTAACAGCTTCATTTTTCATAATTACTGGACGCCCATTTTATGCAGCAAGACTAAATTATAGCTACCCGAACAAACGAAATGTCTAATTGACCGAAAATGGTTCTTTAGAACTATTTAAAAAACATTATATCATTCCTCTGATTTTGTTGATCTGTTGGATGAATGTCCATCAACTGTACAAAATTATTAGTTTGGCAATACTCAGTGATAAATAGGGCACAAAATTTAATTAGTGGCATGTTGTTTGCTTAGTCGGCTATACTATAACTGAGCGACTTGAATCTACGACTTTCGAGGAACTGGTTTTACTTTATAAGTATATGTATACATGCATGTATATGTATGTCACATGAAGCATGGAATATCATAATTTTCAGTTTATTTGTTCAATGATCATCCATTAAGTGGGTAAATGATCGTGACAAACGGGGAAAACCGACGAAGTGCCGATGAAAGATGGGAAAAATGGTGTCCAAAACAGTTGAAGAAATTTTCCTCTCCTTTCTTACATTCCCTTCCAATTTCATCACAATGACAAATGCTAATATTTATCATACTTTTAAATATATATTTATTTATAAATATAGTTATAACTGTGGAGCTTACGGTTGACTCGCGACACTTGTTACACAACACCACAGGTTTGTTATACGACAGCGGAATCTCTATGACGAAGCCACAAACCTGACAAAAAACCAGCTTCCCAAAGTTTTTCGACGTTGATGCAGGGGTTGGACGACAGATACCTGGCACAACATGATAGACTGTTGTTGTATCACCGCTACCTTTTCAAGTTTTAAAAAAGAAATTAAAATGCATACTGAAGGATCGCTTTCGGCTAAAACTTGAACTTGATGAAGAAGACTGAAACCGATGTATTTCTGATACATTCATACTTGGCTAATGCAAAGGTTGGAGCCTTGAGTTTCAAGGTTTTTTCTGTTATCGTGTTATACAGTATGTTAAATGTTTGAATGGCAGATCCCAGGACAATAATGGTTCCTCCAATTTTATTTCGAGATGAACAAAAGACTTTAAGTGAATAGCCCGGATAAAGGACTGTGATAATTTGTAATGTGTGGACATTTCATCAGTAAACACTTTCTAGCCTTTCTATTTTAGGCTGTTCAGATTTGTTTTTTGATTTGACACTAGTAACTAGTGTGATGCTTCTAGTCCTCTGATTGGTGTAGACTGAATTCTATCAGTCAGGTTGTAATGTGACCACCATTCTAGCTAGCTCGCCATCACGGCGTTCAGACTAGTTCCAGGAAATCCATTAGACTGTATCCTGCAGTTCTTCCAGTTAACCTGCTCTCTGAACTGCCTGTGGAATAGAAAATTACCCTGATATTAGCATGCATTAAAGCACACTTGAGAGAATGTATCACAGAAGTTACAACTTTGATACTATCCAGTCAGAAAACTTGAAAGCCAGCATACGTTTGCGACTAACGTGGCTGGTAGACCACATCTCTGTCGCATATTATGTCACAGGCCGAGACTTTGAGATACGCTCCCTGCTTGGGATTTAAGCAGAGGCTGGCGAAATTTCCTATTCAAAAATAGAGAGGCTAAGGCTCAAATCTCTACCACCACGTGTAGCCGAGGACTATTCCATCACAAACTATGGTGGAAAGTTCTCAGACTCTACCATTTGGCTTACTTGCTCCTTCTAGTGGATTTTCATCGTGGGCAATATGAACACCAGCATGCTGAGTTTCAGTATGTGTTCCAAATGGGTGTAATCAGAATGTCGAAAGTCCCCAGTTCTTACCAGAACACTAGGTACTGTAGGGGGAAAAGCAGTCTGTCAGATAGATGGAAACATCACCCATCAATCTGTGCATATTTGCGGACTAAAAGACACGGTGGTCAATGCATTTATCAAGAAAAAGGACCTCGGCAACTTCCTTATGGTGTGATTATCTAGTTGTAAACTTACCTCAAATTATCGTCAATAAATACAGCTTTCAGCAGCCATGAGTGTTATATTTTCCCTTCGCTTTTGGCTGTTGTGTTGACAACAGCCAGGTCACAAGGTTAGGTGGGTCAGTCTTAAGAGTCGCCTAGTAATGTGGCTAGTGCTCAGGTCCAGCAGGATGGGCGGTCAAACATCAATCGTGAGTACCATTTCCGTTCGAAACCAACTTTAAACGAGCCCGAGGTAGTCAAAGCAGCCCTAACAACCGGTTTCCTAGAAAATACTATGTCAATGGAGTTGAAGATTGAACGATCAATTCATGGTTGTTTGCTCAAAATGAACTTCCCCAATTTTCGCGGAGGCATCAATACGACAGTCATCGTCTCATCGGTCGCTGTTCAGAAAGAAGAGTGAAACATCGTCAGAAGTAATACTATGATTTATTATTGTAATATTTGTTTTCAGACCTTAGTTCGCTTATTCCTTTTATATGTTGGTGTAACAATACAGAAATATCAAACGGCAGATCGGTGTTTTGGTTTTTTCGTCCGTTATAACTAAGCGTTTCTGAAATCTTCGAAGAACAGCGTGGGCCCGAGCGTAGCGAGAGCTGGGCATTAACGGTTTATGAGACGTGGCTGACATACTAGATTACAGTGACTTTTAACCCAATAAGTTAGAAGACGTCGAACTATGTCAGTATTCTAATCTATCATAAACCTGCTGCTTATTGATAAATGCGAAGTATAGTCCTGATGATTTGGACACTCCTCTTGCGTAATAGTATTCTGTATACCATTAGTATCTCAAAGCTGCGATCATGGGCATTAACTCCGAAGTATATACTATCATTAAGGGACTCTATAGCTACTCCTCGCATATATCTTGTAAAGGAAATTTCAGTGATGTGATTTCCTTTGTTGTATTTTTTACCAGTTTTGAGTTTCCGAGGGCATGCTCCTACCTCTGAAGTAGCTCCTGATCACATTGGGGCATAACGCTTACCAAAATGCAGACCATTATTTGTTTGACTCTCACTATCGGCGTGGAACGGAGTTTGGGTTAGCGCTGAAACTTGAACTTATTATAGGGTTTGCAATTTAACATATAAACGAACCTTTTGCGATTGATTGTAAAATTTAACCATTAAGACTTCTCAGAAAGTGTAAATTTATGTTTTTACTTTATACAAAGGTGATCGTGCCTGTGAAATTTGTATCAGTATCATGTAAACTTAATCGTTTATATAAAATATAAATTATTAATATGAAAAGAAGACAAGGGAAAACCTCAGAGGAAGTGTATTAGTGGCTTACAGGTATTAGCAGTCCAAAATAAATCATGTTTTATAAATGCAGTTTTGTTTTTCACCGGCATCCCACACTTATGGAATTCTCCGATGTTTCCCAATAAAGATTTGATAAAATGGGAAGTAACAATAAAAGAATGCTAGATCCTAGATACATGAGATAGCCATAAGAGTCTGTGGAAAAGCTGAACCCCACGACCGGAGTGCAGTAAATATTTAGGAGAAATACAGTTTGTCTTTGCCAATGTTACTGTACCGACACAGTGTTAGCTGTCTTCCTGAACTTGTGAGCCTAAACTTCTGTCAAGAAAAATTAAGTTTAGGCACAGGCGTTCAGTTAGTTTGCATCTATTTTTGGTGTATGGGTAAGAAGCCTTACCAGGATATTTCTGTGCAACAGATAGAGGTGGTTTTCACATTTCCTTGTCATCTGAGTAGTAAGCTGAACACAGTAGTATGTGTCGCTACTGACTAACTCAACCACCAGTGCAACGATGCCTTAGTTTTCACTGCACCTCCTCGTTTGACTCTGGGTTGTTTTATTAAGGAAAGACTTCGGTTCCAACCCTTTTAAAACGATGCCTGGCCAAAATATAAGTCGTTGTATCATTTTTAGAAGCATACCGTTTTTAACTCTTTTATTAGGAAATAGATGTTCGCAAGTACTTTTCTTCATATTTTCACCTTTTTGAAAGAAAATAGGATTGAACTCAGAAAACACTATGTGGGCTTATATATCTAGGTACGCTTAGCTCCCTAAGTATTCACTCCTTCGGTTCTTCTGTAAAATACTCACCAACCAAAGGTGAAGACAATTCAACTCGCTTTCCAGCCTTAGCAGTTATTGTTCTGGCGCCCGCTTTATTAAACAGAGTTTAAAGAAGTCTTTTTAATTACATAGTGGGAGAACACTGTCTAAACACAGCTGTCTTAGTCTACCAATAGTAGGAATATTTATGTCATCATTTTAGACCACAAGGTGCTTTGAGAGCCTTGCACAACTTTAAGCCGCCATTCAAATGATGGTTGTCTTATCAGATCAAACCCAAACATGGCAGCAGAAATCCGTAATTCAGTTAACACCACCAGTCATTTACGGCAACCTGTAGGCGGCCGCAGGTCATTTGATCAGCTGATGAATACTGGCTTTATTTATTGAAAAAACCTCAAAGTTAGGTCATTTTTCGTTATTTTACACACCTTTTTACTTATATTCCTGCAAAAAGTTGATGAAATACGGCATATTTAGCAGAAACAGCAAATGATGGTCTCCTTATCCGGCCGTACCTTACAGCAAGTTTACAGTTTGTTGAAAAAACGTACTTTTCCGTTCAGAAAATGTCGAATTACTTGAAGACACATGTAATGACAACTTTTTGTGATCTTTTTGCAGTTTAATGGATTACACATGGACATGATGAGGTGGGATAGCTCGTTTCGGTAATTATTTCGTTTACTTTGTTGTGTACTTTTCCTAATGCTGACAAGGCTCCTCCACATGTATTTCTTTAAGAAAAATCTGCAGAAATACTTAAAAATCATACACGCATTGTATTTCCTTATTTTATGGCACAAACTTGATGTTAGCAGGCAGATGCAATATCGATTTTGTATTATTGAAAAATGTTGACTGACGTAATTATATACAATTCAACTAATTATTTCGTCATTTTAAACATATTTAATGGTTATTTATTGTGTTTACACTGATAACAATGTCTACATCTGTATAATTCTTATGTTCTTTTTCAGATAACATTTACTTTCGGGAATTTCATGGATTTGGGTGATAAAGAAAAAGATAACTGCATTGTTGTCGATTTTGTATTACATGTTAATTCATTAATAAATGTATTCCTCGTTATTCCTTTGTTTATTCTACTTGATAAGAGCGAATATTAGCACTTGCGTAATTTGTGAGGTGTAGAGTATATGAGGCTACCTTTGAAATACTAAGTAGGAGCAGATATTCGGATAAGCCTATTGGTAGAAGATTATGTTGTAGTCAAATGAAGTAAATATGCCTAAATCGTAGAGGAGGTATTGCGATTATAAAGCATTTCGAGTTATCTATTGTCTTGGCAGAATACATATACTGATTCGCGATCAATAGTCACAAAGTGAAAATAAATCTACCTGAGATAGTTTGCTTGTGATTTCTGCATGCCATAATGTACCATGAGGAGAGACTATAACTATGCTGTTAGATGTATAACTCAGTGCAACTAGGGTTATCGTAATAATTAAAAGCAGAATGCCTAGGGTTCTCAGCCGCGGAACACAATACGTTTCTATCTGCTCATATAATCACGTAAACAAAAGTTTTCCAGACGCCGCATTTACTCCTAATAGTTTACCCTCAAGACCTAACTTAGCACGTGTTACTTATGTTACTGGAACACAATCGGGTTACAACAGAAGGAACACACATTCATTGAGAAATTGTTTATTAAACAAAAGTCAGATTAAAAATGTACAGATAATTCAGATGAGCAGTCCTCTATTACCGTCAGTAAGTTCCATCTGCGTACATGGCACATATATGTTTTTCCATACATCTGAAAAGGTTTAAGAAAAGCATAATTAACTTGGGTATTACATGTATGATCTAAATAAAAAAATTTTCCCGATAAGCGTTTACAAGTAATCACTTTACA